TAAAAATAGAAAATTTATCTAAAAACTTATTAGACAAACTGTATATACAATGTATAATATTGTTTCTTTTAAAATATATATTTTTTATTATACAAATTAAATAAAAAAAATAATATTTATTTATTAATTAAATAATTTATTTTTATATTTAAAAATATATTTCTAAAGTTTTATATTAAATATATAATTATTTATTTATATAAAATTTTTGTTTAAAACTTTTTGCATTATACTGTATATATAATTTAATATAATCAAGTATTTATAATATATTTATTATTTATATTTATAACATTTTATATTTTAATTTCAATAATAATTTTAATTTTTTAAAATTTTTCAAATATTAAATTTTAAAAAAATCATTGTTTATTTATTTAAATACTTTTTTTAAAATATTAAAAAAAAATACATTATAACATTAATTGTTTTTATAATTAAAATTTTTTAAAATTGTTTATAAATAAATAAATATATATTGACTTTTAAATTATATTGATAAATAATATTTGAATTTTATTAATATACAGGTAAATTTAGTAATAAGTTTATGGTTTTTATTAATTAATTTATTTTTATTTAATAAATATACTGTATATTATACATTGTTTTTTAAAAGTACAGTATATATTATAAATTATTTATAAATTTTTTGCTTATTATTTATTATAATAACAATATTTTTTATTTATAGAATTATATATAATTGATTGATTGAAATAATAATAATTTTTTATTTAGCTTATAAAAAATAATTTTTATAATTTTTTTTGTATAATTAATTAATTCATTGCCAATAAAAACCTTGATAATAATAGATTTTTTATATGGTAATTTATAGCAACGATTATTTAATTTTGTGAAAATGATGCGACTCCGTGATATTGTATATCCGAAGTAAAGCTATAATTGAAAATAATAATAATAAATAAATAAAAATATATTCCATAGACCTTTAAAAAGTTTGTTTATTATAAGAAATAACACCGATATTGGTTAAGAGATTTATTAAAAGTTAAATACAATAGATGTGTGATCGGGTAACGTTATCTTATTCCTATTGTAATTATAAGAAAAAGCATGATAAACAAATCATCAAACAATGGCTATTCAAATAAAACAAAAACCAGCCAGATTGTAATACGTTGGTTACGTTCTTGTGTTTTGTATCCGGAAAAACAAATTACGAAGCATTTCCGGAATAAGAATTAAGTCGAATATCAAGAATGAGCAAATTTGTTTTTCCGATATCAGATAAATCTCAACTTTTCCATTCTTTTGTGTACCAATACTCTCAACATTTAAATCTGAGAGTGTAACAAAATGTGGAACTTGCTAAATTTATTGATCACATTTCTTTATATGAATATATCAGAGTCGACGAAATCTTTAAGCGATCAAGGTTTATGTAGAAAGATGAATTGAGTATTCTTTAAGAACTTTGCAGAAAAAGATACACCCAAGTATTATGTATCCGCTTGTGACTGAAAAGTATGTGTTGTCACATTAACAGTCTAAATTAAGTTAAATCCGGTATATATATATAAGAATAACCAGCCATTCTCATATGTATGTGGCACAGTAGTAAATCATAAAAAGAAGTTAATAAATCAAACGCTTGATGCAGTTCGACGATCATTCTTATGGTAATTACTACGCGTATGTATAAGGGTACATACATGTCGCACAAATTAATTTTAATAAAATTTGTCTATAAAATTGGGATTTATTTTTGATCTCTTGTTTATACTCTCTTTCTCCCTTCTGTTTTTTTAAAAAAATTTTAAATAATCCATAACCTTGAGATTAAAAAAATACTTGAAAATAAGAAATTCATTGATCTTATGTAGGTTAATAGTAATATCCTCTTCGCACATACATCTCTTGTATTGCGCATACAACACATTTCTTTGATGTTATAATTTAAATATTCATTGGTTCTTCCTTAGAACTATTTTTTTTTTAAAAAAAATATTCTTTAACACAAAACGAAAATAGACAATTTCATTCAGGCTTGCCTTTTTGTTCACGCTTTCAAACTTTTTTTTTTTGGATAAAACTAAATTTACCATCGTTTTTGTTCTTTGAACATTCAACAGTGACTACCTTATCTTTGTCATCAAACATTATAATACGCCTATAATAAGCACACTTAATAACAAGAACATTCGACTTTTCGTCCACGCATGCATTCTTAGGAAACGTTTCTGTACACCAATCACCATTCTAATTGCAAAATAGTCAATTTTCGCAAACATACACTGGAACATCCTTCTATCAATTGAATATGCCTCAACAACAAGAGAGAAAGGGAAATTACGCAAAGACAGCATGTATTCATTGCATAAAGGCGAAAAAGCGATGTTCTGGTGACTCCACCTGTGACAGGTGCACAGAACGTGGATTAGTTTGCTCTTATCCGATCACATCAAAAAAACGTGGACCAAAATTTAAATATATTATTGAGGATACTCATGAAGTACAAGGAAGTTCTATCGACCTTGTTCAGTCCTCTGATTCAACGTTAGAGGAGGGAATTAAGTTAGAGAATAATGTGCAAGATCGTAAGATAATCAAGAAAAAAATATTAATATATATCAAAAAAATTTTTTATTATTACCGTATTCCTTATTTTTAATGTCTTTGCCCTTACATTCCTGTTATTTTCATTAGTTGCAATGTTCTCCACTTTGCAAAAACCGTCTCCAAAAATTCAAGATCATACACAAACTGAGCTTCAACTTTTGTTAAACGATACTAACCTTAATCCGGACACTATCGCTAATTTTAGCTACTATTTAAACAATAATAATAATTTGATTGGTTCTAATTCGGGTAATTGTGATCCCGTTGATCCATTACAAGGTATGAGGATTCCGGACTCCAAATGCCATTTTTAATGTCATATTTATAAATTTTTTGAACGACAGAAAACTTCTTTCCTCCTCTGTTTTCTATTCAATCGTCTATCCCTAACAACATGAACTCTATGAACACTTATGATACAACTTTACCTAAAGAATACTGCATTTCTAGTGATGCCTCGTATGATAACAATTGTAAATATATTTCGCAAAGTAACACTTTTGAATCCTCAACACTCCCTGCGACTCCTTTCGAAATTCACGATTTCATACTCTGGGATGATTTCAATAGAAACGACCAGCAATAAGGATATTTTCTTACTTTAAAATTTATTTCTGTTAAAAAGTAACATGGACTTTTTGAAATAATTATTCTAGTTATTATTTTTATTCACTGCCTTTTATATAATGTTATCATACATTTTATATATATTATTTTTCGCTTTATCTTCGATATACTAGCATTTAAGAAGAAATATGTTTAGTAAAATAAAGATGCGCATGGTTAAGGTTCTCTTGCCCGACTTTAGAATTTGGAGAAGTTAATTATGTATAATTCGTAATACCACTGTTTTTAACGTATACAAGATTGTAAATTGTTCATATTTGACAAATTACCCATTTACCAAAACTATCGAAACATTGTACAGTGCATAAACATGTGGCAAGAAAAGACATTTGTAATTTACAGTACTACACTATATATTTTTATGTGGGTAAAAAGAACCAATATGCATTCAACCGTTATTCTGATTATTCTGAGGAATATCATTAACTGCATTTGTTTGTTTGTGTTTTATATAGAGCATGTCCATTGTGGTCGTTATTTTATAAGTAAGATCCTAATGTTCCAAACCATGAAAATCTTCTGAATAGAGAAATTCTAGACGAATAATCGGAATTACTACGAGCACTACTACTCCAAATAATAAAATGGCTGCGTAAAATAATTGTAACTAATAGGACCTTTACGGAACGAATTTAATCTTTATATATTCTATGCAACTGTAGGTTATTCGGGTTTATTCGATTTGAAGTACTTCTTCTAATTCTCTTGAGCAATGTTTTATCAAAGAACGTTTTGTTTTATGATAAATCACATGTCATTTTTATTGGACATGTGTTTTATAAGTGGATTTCTGAAAGAGACTAAGATGCATGTGAAACTGTTTTTTTTTATTAATAAAAAAATGTTTTTTGATTTAGCTCGATTCGTTTTCAGCCAAGATCGTCAATTATCTACTGAAAATTTCAATTTAATATTGTGTATAACACAAGCAATGAGTTCTCGTCGTTACAAAAACCTCCCTAGGTTTATACGTCGATCTTGGACAAGGTTGAAGAAGGTACTGCGTATCTAATGGCTTGATAAAATTAGCCATCACTTAAAAATTATAATTATATGCATAAGCAGATTGTTGATCGTGAACATAAACAAATTCCATTGCAAAATGTGAACAATAGAAGATACTTTCAATATAGAATAAACAAATTTTTATATTTTATTAAACAATTAATTTTAAATTGTTTTTTTAAAAAAATAATAGATAATATTTATTTAAATTATTTTGAATAATAAAAATAACAACTTTAATAATTAATTTAATAATTTTATTTGAAATTTTATAAATATTAATTGAATATTATTAATATATAATCAATTATTAATAATTAAAAAGTAAAAATAAAAAAATAAATTCAATATAATATAAACAATACTTGTTATTAATTTTATTATCAATTGATAATCAAAAATCAATTAAATAATAATTAATATTAATAATTAAAACTAATTAAGTTATAATAATCAAATATTAATAATCAAAATTAATAATCAAAACTAATTAAGTAATGATGATTAAATATCAATAATTAAAATTAATAATTAAACTAATTAAATAATGATAATCAAATATTAATAAATAATAATAGTTAAATATCAATAATTAAAATTAATAATTAAAACTAATTAAATAAAGATAATCAAATATCAATAATTAAAATTAATAATTAAAACTAATTAAGTAACGATATTCAAATATTAATAAACAAAATTAATAATTAAAACTAATTAAGTAATGATAATCAAAAATTAATAAACAAAATTAATAATTAAAACTAATTAAGTAATGATAATCAAATATCAATAATTAAAATTAATAATTAAAACTAATTAAGTAACAATATTCAAATATTAATAAACAAAATTAATAATTAAAACTAATTAAGTAATGATAATCAAAAATTAATAATCAAAATTAATAATTAAACTAATTAAATAATGATAATCAAATATCAATAATTTAAATTGATAATTTAAACTAATTAAGTAATGATAATCAAATATCAATAATTTAAATTGATAATTAAAACTAATTAAGTAATGATATTCAAATATTAATAATTAAAATTGATAATCTAAACTAATTAAGTAATGATAATCAAAAATTGTTAATTAAAATTGATAATCTAAACTAATTAAGTAATGATAATCAAATAATAATCAAAATTAATAATCAAAACTAATTATGTAATAATAATCAATAATTAATAATCAAAACTAATTATGTAATAATAATCAATAATTAATAATTAAATCAATTAAGTAATGATAATCAAATATTAATAATTAAAATTAATAATTAAAACTAATTAAGTAATAATAGTCAAGTATTAATAATCAAAATTAATAATTAAAACCAATTAAGTAATGATCATCAAATATCAATAATTTATATTAATAATTAAAACTAATTACATAATAATAATTAAATATTAATAATCAAAATTAATAATTAAAACTAATTAAATAATGATAATTAAATATTAATAATCAAAATTAATAATCAAAATTAATTACATAATAATAATCAAAAATTAATAATCAAAACTAATTACGTAATAATGATCAAATATCAATAATTAAAATTGATAATCTAAACTAATTAAGTAATGATAATTAATAATTAATAATTAAAACTAATTAAGTAATAATAATCAAATATTAATAATTAAAATTAATAATTAAAACTAATTAAGTAATAATAGTCAAATATTAATAATTAAAATTAATAATTAAAACTAATTAAGTAATAATAGTCAAATATTAATAATCAAAATTAATAATTAAAATTAATTAAGTAATAATAATCAAATATTAATAATCAAAATTAATAATCTAAACTAATTAAATAATAATAGTCAAAAATTAATAATCAAAATTAATAATCCAAACTATACATGTTTTCTTATTACTATAAAAGAAAATTTGATCAACAATATAATTTCAATTAAATACAATTTCTAACTACTTACTAATTGTTACTTGGTAATACAAACATAATATAGTTTTTGAAAAATATTTGAATTAAATATAAATACATATATAATCTAAACTAATTAAGTAATAATAATCAAAAATCAATAATCAAAACTAATTAAATAATAATAATTAAAAATTAATAATCAAAATTAATAATTAAAACTAATTACATAATTATAATCAAATATTAATAATCAAAATTAATAATTAAAACTAATTAAGTAATAATAGTCAAATATCAATAATTAAAATTAATAATTAAAACTAATTAAGTAGGAATCATAAAAAACTGATCCGAAACCATATGCACAATCTGATGGATAATCATGCATACAGTTTCGGATCGGTTTTTTGTGATTACTATAATTAAGTAATAACAATCAAAAATTAATAATTAAATTAATAGTTAAAAACTAATTAATTAATAATAATCAAATATTAATAATCAAAATTAAAAATTAAAAATTAATTTTATTTTAAATTTATAAATAAATCTAATATTTTAAACCAATATTAAAATAATATTAAAATTTAGACTTCTAATAATACTATTTTAATATTATTTCAATATTTAAATTTATCATAAATTTATATGAGTAGATTACAATCTATATATTAAAATTATTATCCCTTAAATTGTAATGCAAGTAAATTTGCTTATATATTTAAAATTTTAATAAGTTTTTAAAATTTTTTAATAAAATTTTAAATATTAATTTTTATAACTTACTTATATTA